ACAGTTGTGATTCAGTGTGACCTTGGACTTTAGTCAGATAATAAAGACTAAAACTAGGTGGCGTGACTCAAGATACTTGTCACCAAGCCTGACAATTTGAGTTTAATCCCAGAGATCCACAGCGTAGAAGGAGAGAACCGACTCACACACATATAAGTAGATACAATTTTTAAAATGTGCATTAGAAGCCTGAAAGGCGGCTTTTCCGCGGGGTGATAGTTCTTCAATCGTTTCTCTTCCTGGCACTTTGGACTCACACCTATGAACTCTAAGAAGTCCACCCCCACACCTCTCTCTGTCTCTACTGTGCTGAACCGTAGTTCTGCATCAGCCCTGAAGTTCTTTCGTAACAACCCTCAGTGAGCAATGGGATTTCCTGTGGAAAGATGTCTACAGATCAGATCACCTCCATTCATCCATTCCACCCCGACAATGCTAGGGAGGGTCTATGGGGTGCCAGGCATTGGAGACAGCCATGATCCAAACAAACACAGGAATCAAGTGAGTTATAAAGTGAACAAATAAGAATAAAGAATTAGTTGGTGATGGGACATAGAGAGAGTAAAGTAAGAGAAAGAGGGAGGTAAGACTACAGGAGTGGACAGGAGAGGGGGAGACTGAAATATTCCTCTTGTTTCAGCTGCAGTACTTTGTACCAGGCCCTGTACTTTACCCATTGGTCTTATCCCATCACCACTGGGTAAGGGAGGCATTATTATCCCCAGTTCAAAAAGGCAGAAAGAGATCAGGGAAGTTAAATAAACTTGCCTGAGGATCGGCTTTGGCTGGAAGGAAGATTCTTGACAGTGACTCTAGACAAACATCCCCTGCCACCAGCCCGAGAGTTTGGGGTGTCTATGAGGTGCGGAGCCCCCCAGAAGTTCTATCACATTTCCTCAGGGCTCCTGACAGGGGCACACAGTCCCAGCCACAGATATGTTGTGCTTTGGGAGCAAATGAACCCTAAGAACCTATCCTGTGTGCAAGCAGCTCAAGCCCCAGAGTCCCACATCAACACAGGTCGGCACCCGTGGTACCCACCCACCCCCTTCAGCACAGGTCGGCACTCGTGGTACCCACCCACCTAGGCAAGCTCTGGTGTAACTCAGGCTAGCCTCAAACTCCCCACACAACTGAGGGCGACAATAAACTCCCCATCTTCCCGCCTCATCTCCCAAGTGCTGGGAATACAGGTGAGCACCACCCTGTCAGGTTAGGAGGTGCTGGGGGTTGAATCTAGGGCTCCATCTCCAGCCCCAGTCCCTGATTTTCAACCCTCCCTGCCTCCAAGCCCACCTCAGCATTATAACTGGGAAATGACAGCTATAAGCAGGGTCACCACATAAAGAGAGCTCCAGGCAGGACTAGGGTCAACCCTTCCCACTCCGCCCCCACTGGGCCTCTGCGGAGGTGAGGGACTGGAAGCCGAGACAGAAACCACAGATGTTCCAACGAGCTTGCATTGTCTTTTTTTTTTTTCATGGCCAAGACACCATCCTCTCCCTCAAGTCACCCTGGCGGGTTGAGGTCTCCACAGGCACGAAGGCCCTGAGACTCAATGAAAGGTGGTCCCTAAAGCAGTGTGTTAGGCCGCAGTGGGAGATGGCCCTCTCTGGGCCAAGCCAGGCTGAGAATGGCATCATCGCGCTGCCCAAACCCCACAGGTTTCCTCTCTACCTACTGCCTCCCTGGAAGGGCAGGCCTGTGCTGAGCTTTAAGTGGTTTCTGCGGTTTCAGGGGTGGGGAGGGAGGGAAAGAAGGGCTGGTGGCTGCTCCCCATTTCCAAGCCATCACCACCCCCCTCCAGGTTGTTTGCCCCCCAGCTTTGAGATTCCTGGGCCTGATAAGGGGACTGGGCACGTGGGGGGAGAACCGATTCTCTGATCCCTATCAGCCTCTTCCTTGCATAAGAATGTATTTGAAGAGGAAATAACCCCTGCCCTGCTTAGAAAGCACAGATTCCTACAGAAAGGGAGCAGTGGTTACAGGGAGAGGCGGGCAGGTCAGGAAAGAGGGGGAACATCCCAGAGAGACTAATCCCAGCACCTACTCTGCTCTCTTTACCAGCTGAGTAAGGCCCAAGGTCACACTGGATAACAACGGTACATACTCACTCAGCCTATGGCCACTGTGGGAGGAGCAAATGGCTGAAGCTGTTAGAGCAGTTCCCCCATGTGGTCTCTACCTCCTGGTAGTTGTGAGCAGGGAGAATTCTCTGGTCATGGTGTCAGTCTGGGTAGGAGAAGGAACCTAAGCCCACACCCCAGCAAGCTAGAGGCAGCGACCAAAAATTGGGCATGGTGGCTCCTGCCTGTGATCCCAGCAGCACCCAGAAGGCTGAGGGAACTGGATCTTCATGAATGTTCAAGGCCATTGGAGACTACAGAGTGAGACCCTGTCTCAACAACAACAAAACAATGAATGCCAAGAAAGCAAATGGCGCTCAAGGCCTACAGCCAGAAGCCTGTCTTCCCAAGCCCTGGTCACTTCCTGAGAACTCACACAGGAGCGTGAAGGGTACAGTGGGAGAAGCAGCCATTGGCAGTGTCTGCCAATGCCATACGGTGTGCCATCTGCAAGCATCCCTCGGGGCCTCCACCCTGTGCCTCTGGCTTGAGGAAGGGGTCATCTGGAAGGCCTTTAGATCTAGAATCACCAAGAGAAGCCAAAAGAGGAAAGGATGTGGCCGGTGATGCAAGCCTGTAACCCCAGCACACCCAAGACTGAGGCAGGGTTGTGAGTTGGAGGCCACCCTGGAAGAGCCCACTTCAAAAGGAGAGAGAGAGAGAGAGAGAGAGAGAGAGAGAGAGAGAGAGAGAGAGAGAGAGCGCGAGAGAGCGCGAGCGCGAGCTAGAGAGATGGCTTAGCAGTTAAGAGCACTGGCTGTTCTTCTAGAAGGATCCAGGTTCAATTCCCAGCAGCCACATAGTGGCTCACAGCCATCTATGACTCCAGTTCCAGGGCATCTGACATCTTCTTCTGTCCTCATAGTAAACCAGGCACATAAATGGTGCACAGACAAACCTGCAGGCAAAACACCCATACACATTAAAAAAAATTAAATTAGATAAAAATAAGAAACAAAAACAACAACAACAAAAAAGCAGGGAACTGAAAAGTGATGGACGAGGGAAGGAAAATCATGCAGGAGCACAGGAAAAAGCAGGAGGGGTAATTCTGGGATAGGCGTGAACAAGCAAGGTCCCCACCCCCGAAAGTCCCAGCCTCTCCTCCTGCCTCTTTCTGGCTCTGCTCTTAGGTAGAGTCCTAGGTGGGGTGCCGCTGCTGCTAAAGATACTTTGCCTCTTACCTCAAAGCTCTCCAGGCCGGCTTCAGGTTCTGAGCAGAGACGTATACGTGGGCCCGTGTTTACCAAAGGCCATGGAGAGTCTGAGGAGAGGATTTAGGCAGAACCAGTCCCCAGAACCCACATAATCAAACAGGGGTACAGTGGAGGGTAGGCACTTGTAGTCTCAACAATGGGGTGGTGGAGACAGCCAGCCCCCTAGGGCTCATTGGCCAGCCAGTCTAGCCAAAATGGTGAGCTCCAGGTTCCAGGAGAGACCTGCTTTCAAAAAAATAAATAAATAAAGGGACTGAGGAAGACACCTGATATCACCCTCTCTAGCCTCCACAGGCACGCACACTCACATGTGTACACACATACACACACACATGTGTACACACACACACATGAACACGTACACACACAAGGGACATGGGAATAGTCAGAGCCTCAGAGTCCCTCAAATGTTTCACTCCCCAAGCCTTTATCAGTCACCCTAGGAGTCAGAAAGGCTACTTCTCCTCCTCTTTGTTCCTGAGGCTTAGGAAACTCAACCCCCCAGAGACAAAGGTGCCGACGGTAGCAGAGTGTGGCGCTCCAAGGACAGGCAAGAGTGGAGGAGGAAGTGACAGCTCCCTGCCCTTTCCACGCCAGGTGCCACGTGCGCCAGGTGGAGGGAGTGGGCGAGTCACGAGGCCCTGGCGTGGCCGGCTCCTGCTCTGCTGTTTACCAGCTGGAGAGAGCAGGAGGAGGGGCCGGGAGCCTCCTGATTGCAGCCTGGCCCTTAGCCAGGGGCTGTTGGGTAAGCAGGAAAGCCAGGCCCAGCTAATCAAACTCGGGGTGGAGGCCACGCCGAACTGTGGCATCCAATATCCACAGAAGCCATGGCTCTTGGCCCGCCTCAGACTCCAGTGCAGGCCTTCATGTGAACAGGCTTAGTCGGGGGAGGGGGGAATGGGGGCCCCCCCCTCCTCCTAACCTGTCGGCCCAATGCTGTTCCTATCTTCTGTTCTCCCCTCCTCTCTCTTCCCCTGGCTCTCCACTTTGCTCCTCCTTCTCCACACATTCCCCCCACCCTCCACCCCTCCAGGAGTGTGGGAAGCGCCTAGAAGCCAGGGAAATCCAGAGGAGGGCAGCATGGGGTTAGATAGAGGCAAAGTAGGCATGGGCTCCAGGAACCCAACGTGCAGAAAAGTACATCTGACCTCACCCTGGGGATCAGAGTCCATGCCGGCCCCCCAACACACACACACACACACACACACACACACACACACACACACACATACACACACACACACACACACACACACACACGTCTTTTCTCTTTTATTCTTCTTGCTATTCTGTCACCTGTCCTAGTCTGCTCAAAAGTCACAAAGACCTGGGTTCAAATCTCAGCTCAATCACAAATGACCCTTGTGAAGTCCTTGGCAAGTCTCCTCTATTCTGAGCAACAGTGGATTTCATGATTATGAACAATCACACTTGCCTGCAGAGGCTACGGTGTGGGTTTCCAAAAACCACAATCCTGATTTTTTCCTACAAGGCCTGGCAAGGGGCTCAGCACACAGTAGGTAGTCAATAAATGCCAGCTCCCTTTCCCCCAGCTGTTTCTCCTCAAGACTGCGGACACCGGTCCACTGCTCCCTCCCCAAGTGCCCTCCCAGTGCCAGGACACTCTGCCAGCCACTCCTTTCCCCTGCCTGCTGACGGGCCAGGTGCTCCCTCCCTCTCCCTCCTCCTCCCTCCCCTGGGCCCTGCTCCCTGCCCTCCTGGGCAGCCAGGGCAGCAAGGACGGCACCAAGGGAGCTACCCCATGGACAGGGCCCCACAGAGACACCACCGAACATCTCGGGGTAAGAGGCCCTAGAGCCCTGCAGGCAGGTGGAGGAGACCTCCAGGAGGCTCAGAGGAGAGGAGGGATGGGAAGAGACTGGGAAAGAACTGGAGAGGCTTGGCAGAGGAGAGCAGAAGGGAAGGACAGGACAAGTCTTCATATAAAAGTAGGGCAAGCAGGAAGAAGGGCTGAGGTAACTGCAGGAGACTTGGGAAGACAGAGGCGTCAAGGAGGAAGAGCCAGGTTGGAGGGGGGCAGGAGGGAGGGGCTGGGTTAGGGAGGCTAGATCCCGAGAAAGGATGGCAATGTGGCTGGCTCCCGGGCGTGAGCAGGCCTCTCCCTGCCCCAGGACCCTGGGCAGTAGTGGCTCCAAGGGCAGCCCTCTCCACCTCCCCGTTCATTCACCACTGGAGTACCCTGTCTGCTGTCATGGGGTGGGGTGGGGGTGGAGGGTGTGGGGGAGGCCCAACTGCACCCTTCCAGCTGCTCCAGCCCAGCAGTCCCACGCTTGCCTCCAACCTGTTCCAGGAGCTTTATCTCTGCAGAGTGGGAGACACCTGTGCAGCACAGGAAGGAACAGAGTGAACAGCCCTTGGCTCCACCAACGGTGTGAGGAGGGAGCCCCTCAGAACAGGACACCCCACCACTACCACCCACCATGCTTATCAGCCGGGAACCTAGGGAGAGTGAGTGACAGAACTACCAGCTTCCAGGGCCACCTAGAGGAAGGTCCCTGGGGCCAACAAGGGGAGTGCCTCCACGCAGGACTGCTCAGAACTGCAAATAAGCTGGAGGCTTGACAGGGCGCCATGTCAGGGAGGAAACTGAGTCGGACAAGATGACAGGATTAGCAGGGAGGTGGGCACGGCATGAAGCCACACCCTCTCTGGGCAGACCTTCCCCTTCCCACCCCCGGGAGCCAGACCACTAGTCCCCACTGGCCATCATGGCAATAAAATGGGGACGAGTGTCAGTCTCGTCCGCAGGAGGCAAAAAGTTAACAGAACTGAGTCAAAGGTGAGGGCCATCGCAGGCAGGGCTAACGGGCTTCCTGGGACAAAACAACCAGCCCCGGGCACTGTGGATTTAGGAAATGCGATGGAGGTCTGGCAAGAAAGCCTCCTTTGCCAAGGGCTCCCTCTCTAGGTGTTTCCTGAATAATGACTGCATGCATGAACAACCCTGTAAGCATGCAGTAGCCAAGGCTGCCCCCTCTCAGCAGCTCCTCCCTCGGACAGCAGAGTGTTTCTACAAACCTCAATGGACCACCCTGTGCCACCGACTGCCTGCTCTCCACCCAGACCTAGGCCCGGAGCAGAGTGGCCAGGAAAAGGGTTCTCTCCTCTGCAGGCATGTGGACGCATGAAGCCCACACAGGTGGCTAGAGAGGGTCTGTCCACAGCTCTCTCCTCCTTGTCTTCCTCTTCCACCACCCAGCCCCACACCTCTGCTACTCCCTCGTGCTTCCTGGCACAGATAAGCAGCCAAGAGATTGCATTCCCACAGGAATTTAACTCTGGGTGCCGAATATCTGTGTACTTCAAATGCACCAGATACTAGAGGGTTCTGGGTGTCCCCAGAATAGCAAGCTGAACAAGACAGATAGTCGCGCTGCCTCAAGACAGGCTTGCCATCTAGAAGGGACCATGGCACACACCTAGGGCAGCTGGCGGTTACGTCAAGTGCCAGGAAACAACGCATGGTGCTGACTGAACAAACCCCAGGGCAGGGGAGAGGGCATGGGCGGCTGTTCCAGAGGAAGAGAGACGTCTGAGATGAAGGGGTGGGAGGAAGGCAGAGTGGCGTGGGGAAGTCCTGGAGGCGGAAAGGAGCTGGGCACTTTCGGGACCTGGAAGAGAGCCAGTGCGGCCAAAGGGCAAAGAGATGGGTACTGCTGAGAGGCCCCAGCTCCGTCTCAGAGGCCAGGCAGTACTATGAAAAAAGTGGGGTGGGGTGGGAGCCAATACCAGGGGAAGTCTGTGCCCCAGCACACACACACACACACACACACACACACACACACACACACACACACCGCCATGTCTTCAACTGTTGACTGACTCCTTCCTTCTCTTCTCTTTACAGAGCTGCTGGCTGCAAAGAAGACTCATACTTGTGAGTAGGGGTTTGGGCCAAGAAGGTGGTACTGGGTATAGTGAAACAGTTCCGTTCTGGAGGCATGAGTCAGAGAAAGGCCCAGGACTGGACAGAAGTGGAGGAGGCCGGCTGAGATCACAAGGCCCAAGAGATGAGGTCTGAAGGAAAAGGAGCCCAAAGAGTGTCAAGTAACAAGCAGTGTAAAGAAAAGGGGAACTGTGGAAAGAGGTGGGTGGGGTGCTGGACAGAGGCTCGGGCCGCTGGGCTGGAGCAGAGAGGAGGTTTAAGGCCCCCCCAGCCTCGGAACTCAGCAGCCACAATGGGAGGCCTAGGAGCGTGCCCAAGGCTTTGTGGTGGCAGAGCCGGGTTTGGTGTGTTCATCTCTGTGGTTAACACATTCTGAGGTGTGAGCAAGCCTGGATCGAGGCTCTGCAGAACTAGAGAGCAGGAAGCCTGGTCTCTGTAAGAAAGAATGGAGAGGGACTGTTTCCTGGGGTCCTGAAATCCTGAGACTAAAGTATGTGAGGAGGAGACTAGAGTTCCAGAAGGACTTCCCAATGGACACTTGCAAGTAAGCATCTTCTCTCGGGCCATTGTAACACCCCCAATCCAGCCGCAGAGAGACAGGCTATTCCCCCACCAAAGTGTGTCCACTCCACCAAAGGTCCTGCCTGCCCGGCAGCCTGGGAGCACCTTGGAAAAGACTTACACAAGCGTGGTCATTAAGTTGACGATGACCCTCTCAGCAGAGGAGGTAACCTCCACTCCTCGATCACATACTCTTGGTCCACCCTTTCCTCCCAGTGCCAACGCCGTCTGCAGTCCCAGCATCCCTCCTCCCTGAGCTTGGGGCTGTCTAGGATGCTCCGTCCTCCTGGGGGGGTGGGGATGCTTGGCTCAGCACAATCCTGATCAGCTTCATGTGCCACTAGCCACAGGGCCCCACGGAAATGCTGAGCAGGGCCCCCGGGAGGAAAGCGAGTCAGAATGACGAAGCCAAGCTGGGGGAGGGGACCAGGGACCACATTGGGGGGGAAAGAGGGACTTTTGGAGCAGTGAGAACTGGGAAGGACCAAGCCTCCAGCCATGCCTCCTGCCCTTTTCGTCCCCACTATGAATGTCCTCGTGAGGGTCCGGGCTGGCCGCCCTCACCAATCTGATGCGTAACTTCCGAGCCAGCAGAGAGAGAGAGAGAGGCTTGTACTGGTTGAAGAGCTGAGGGTTCCAGCAAGATTGAAGACCTCTCGAGGGGGTTGGCCCAAATGTTGAGATCCACTCCCTGACCCCAGGCCAAGGAAATATAAACTGTTCCCCAAGTGAAAGACTTCAAGAAAGGCGTCCAACACGAGACACTTAGGGGCCACACCCAGGCCAAGAGGGAGTCTGGTGACTACAGGGGTCAGAAAAGGAACCTCCAACGCTGAGGCGCCCCACAGAGCAGACTGGAAAATGAAGGGACCCATCAGTAAGAAACCTCACACCAACAAAACCTACAGAGAAACTCAAGTCCCCGGAGACAGGCCAGCCTGAGACACACTCAAAGGCAAGCTTGAACCAGATAAAACCCCCTTGTCCCTCAAGTGGACCTGAGGTCACTCTGCCTGTCCACTCGACCATTCTCGACTGGTGTGACCTTGAGCAGGTTACTTAACCTCTCTGTGTCTCTCCCCTTACTGGTCTTTGAAACGGCAGCTATCACATCAAGTACTTTGTGGGGATTACATAATCCACACACTACTGAGTCAGTCCTTCCCCGCACTGACTTAAGCACTATGGTTAAGAGGGTGGTGGTGCTCACTAGCTGTGTTCCAGTCCAGCAGTCTTGTTCCTAGAGACCTTTCTGAAGGACCAACCCATCCTACAGAGTCTTGGGTACTTGCCTAATGATACTGCCACTGTCATTTCCTCAGCCCAGGGTAGCATCACGTGCGGAGGAGTAGTGTGGGTGTGGTGAGGGTCAGTCGTCTCCTGATTACACCACCCTGGGTATGGCTATTGACAGTCCGCAGGGTCTCAGTGCCACATGACACCGCCCGAGGCAGATATTCTGTGACTTACCTCTGGGACATCCCTACCCCTGGTGTGTCACCTGGAAGAGGGCCTGGGGTGCTCAGGAAGAGGGGATTTCGAGCCCAGCCTCTGCCCATGAGCTCCACGAAGCTCCCCAGCTAGAACTGCCCTGGCGAGTGGAAACAGCTTTTACCACGGCTGTGGCTGTGGTTTTGGAATTTTCCAACGCCCCCTGTGATTGGCTGCCCCGCCCCTCACACCCTGCCCCAGACCCAGATTGGCCACGTGGGGTGCCTGTCATCATACACAGTGCACCTCTGGGGGCTGGGGGGCTGTCACTTGGCCACCTGTGTGGTGCAGAGCTTAACCCCCCCCCACCCTGCCCAGAAACACTGGGGGAGAGCTTTGTGCAGATCTGCGGGCTGAGGCGCCCGCCGCTAAGAGGGCTTCACCCCACCTCCACTGGCAGCTGTGTGCTGTCCTGGGCTACCCTACTGAGGAGGACAGGGAGCCAAGACCCGACAAGCCCAGGCTCAGTCATGAGAAGTAAGTGAATGGGAAGCCTGGGTCCTGCTGAATAGGAGGGGTGTCTTGGAAACAGTGCCTCCTTGGCAGGGTGTGTCCCAGTCAAGGTTGAGATCTGCTGGGAGATGGGTGGAGTCCCCAGGGAGTTTCTCTCCCGAGGCAGCTTCCTTGGCAGCCGTGGTAAACAAATTGTTCAGGAGTTCCTTGCCGTAAGTTCTAGGAAGACTGAGCATACCCGTGGGGTCCAGCATGGACAACAAAAGATGCACAAAAGAGACCAAGACCAGGGGAGGGGAGGGAATCAGTCAAGAGCTCACAGTTGGGGCCTGGGAGCTAGCTGGTGGAGGTTGGTGGTCATCAGGACTCAGCTTACATTCCTAGCTCCTCGGGAAGAGTTTCTCTTCGTGCCTCCAAACACAGGTGCCGCTGTGCCCTGAAGCAGGAGTCACAGTAAACTGAGGTTAGAAGGCAGTGGGGGTCAGAAATCACTGTTTAGGCCTCAGAACTTCCAATCTGCCTGACCACCCCCCCCCACACACACTGGGGGACATGGTGGGAATGCTGTGTGTGTGTGTGTGTGTGTGTGTGTGTGTGTGTGTGTGTGTGTGTGTGTATTTACGTATGCACTTGTATGTGCCTCCAGGTGCAGTTGCCCATCTGAGGCAAGTAGAGATGGGAGCAGAAAGCCCTTGGCCTCGCTCCATTCCCTGTTTGGAACCATGGGCTGACAGCTGCTGGGCAGATGTCTGGGGCCCATTTGTCTTCCAGCTGAGCAATGTGGGCAAATCAGACCACCCTCCATGTTCATGTAAGGGAAGCCAGAAGACCTCTCAAAGTACAGGGCGAATGAGGAAAAGGGAAGCCTGTAACCCTGAGGCCTGTAACCTGAGGCCTGAGGCAGCCCCAGCTTCAGCCTGGGGTCTTTCCACAAGCCACAGAAAGGAGGCCATTCTGGGTCCTGGAAAGACCCACGGACTGAAAGTCTAGTGAGCAGGTTCCAGCAGCAGATCACCTGAGTGAGGCAAGCCACCGGGCTCTGGGCTCCGGCCACAAAACAAAAGGGTTGACTTTCACAACGAAACCGAGCATGGAGAGTCTCCCAGTTCTAAGAACCCAGGACCAAGAGAGACCCCTTGTCCCCAAATGAGGCACCCCCAAGGGTGAAAGAGAATCTACCCCCCCCCCACCACCCACACACACAATATACAAGGAAAACAGGTCAAGTTGGTATCACCACTTGCATGCATGGGGCAGGACCACAGTTCAGGGGCTGGAGCCTTGGTGGGACAGGTGGACTGGGAGAAGAGCCAAAAGTCCTGATGATGGGAGTAGGAACTGCAGATTCCTTCCTGGCTTCTTCCCCTCAGCAGCAAAAGCGGGCAGACTGGACTTCACAGAGACAGCTCCAAACCACCAATCAGCCCTGGGATGTCATGTTTCTGCATACTTCATGCCCAAGCAGGGGCAGAAGTTCCCAACAGTGGCTGAGGGAGACACTTGGGCAACTCTGCATTGCATGTGCACGCGAGCACACACACACACACACACACACACACACACACACACACACACACACACTTTATATATAGATAGATAGATATAGATATCTCCAAGCTTTCTGACCCTAATGAGTGCCAGTTGCCACCAGCTTGGGACCATGCCACACCAAAGAGCAAGGCCAAAGAAACAAGGAGCAGAAGGAACCTAGGAAATAAGTGATGGATTAAAGGTCACAGAGTGGCTGATGTCCAGACGGAGGAATACCAGGATTGCCATAGAGTAAGATACCCAGAGACCAGTGGCCATGGGTTCTAAGGCACAGACACCAGGGAGATGGTAAAGAAACTGGAGGGTGTCTCATAATTAAACAGACCCACTGCTGCCACCATCAACCAGGGGTGAATAGCCCAGCCAGCTTACTATTAGGAGCTGGTCAATGTAGACTGAGTAGTCAGGATGTCTAAGAGTGGGAGGTCACATGTCTGTCATCTTCCTTGAATCCAGCCATGATAATGCAGAGCAATGGACCATAAAGAACTCCAAATCCCCAGCATGGTTTTGTGTGTGTGTGTGTGTGTGTGTGTGTGTGTGTGTGTGTGTGTGTGTGTGTGTGTGTGAATTACAAGTGTCATAGAGTGCATGTGGCAGGCATAGGATAGTTTTTGGTAGCTGATTCCTTCCCCTAGAGTTCTGGGGATCGAATTCATGTCGTCAGACTTTTGTAGCTAGGGATTTTGCCCACTGAGCCATCCTATGGCCCTATTTGGGTTTTGTTTGTTTATTTGCTTGTTTGTGACCAAGTCTCATATAGCTCAGGCTGGACTTGAACTCACCATACAGCTGAGGATGACCTTGAAAGTCTGCCCTGCCTACCTCTGCTTCCCAAATGCTAGGATTATAGGAGTGCACCCCCATGAGCCCTGCTCCATGTGGGCTTGCCTGCATCACTCCGGCACCCTTCTCTTTTCCTTTCTCCTCATTTC